TATAGCGCAGGGAGTTTAAGTTTTTGCTCTGTCATAGAAACAAAAATTTTAGCAAGTTTTTTGGAATTTTAATTATTCCTTTTAAAGGTTATCTATTAATGTTTAAAAATCAGTTTAAAGTTTACCTCTTCTGCTTTTGCATGAGAGCTGCATGCGATCTCAGAGACAATCATAATCATTTACATCCTTACTGTTTAAATCACTCCTAGACAAGTTTGTGAGATATGTTGAACTTAATTTTTCATATATAAATATAATATTTCTTACAACTAAATTAAAAAATACCATGCTGACCTACTATATTACAGTTTCTGAATTGCTAAAACACATTTTCTGAAATGTTGCATCTGTTTTTCAAAGCGGTAAACACAAAACTACATTCACAAAATCTCTGACTCTTTGCAAAATCAAATAATTGCCTCAAAACAGTTTTACTTGTGCTCAAAACCAAACAATGTCTTCAGATTATGACAAAGCAGTCAAAATAAAAACAATACTGAGCAGCCATTGCACACTACATCAGAAAATGGAAAACACTGTTCAGGGCATAGAGCTCCAGGAGAAATGTTCATTGTTTACAATAAAGTAAATGCATTTTGCATCTCCAAAAATACTAAGAAAAAAGATTTCATGACTCAGCAGTTATTGTACATAAAGTAAAAGTTAAGTACTGGAAAAGACAGAATATTCCATACTGTAAATGAGAAGTATATCACAGTCCACAGCCTATAATGCCCTGTAAAAGGGACGAAATCAAAGGACTGTAAACAAGCGATTGGGCATTGGGCTTCATCGCGTCTTTGGGCTGGGTCAGGCCACAGCACTTCAGTGTCACATGCTATATTCCCCGTCGCCAGGCAACAGGGGAAGAACCCTCTCGTGTGCTGAATCTAACCTTGACTCAGCTCCACACCAATATCACCACAGGCCAATTCCATGGCCTGTAGGACATTTACCCTGGTGTAGGGCTGTCTGTCATATACCTTCCTCGAAGACCACCAAGAAATGTAAGAAGATGCGCTGGGTGTTTTGTGGCCCCATGATGGTGTTGAACCCCAAGGTTGCTTATAGCAGCACGTAGTGTCACACTGCCACCACGCTGGCCAGGGACTTCAACAACGGCCCGCTGGACACTAAGGTCCTGCCCTCAGTTTCTCCTCTTTGTGAGATTGAACCCAGCTTCATCCAAATGTAATCATGGGGTCTGTCCATGGAATCCAATTCAAACACTCTCTATATGTCGCAATAGATATAGTTTTGTAAGTGCTACACAAAGACAGACCTATGCTGTACAGTACATTATATGCACTCTTGATTTAGATATATTGAACATACTGTGATGTCAATGAGCTTTACAGTAGTACAGTCAGGACCATAAATATTTGGACAGAGGCAAAGTTTTTCAATTTTTAAGTTCTGTACATTACCACAATAAATTTTAAAAGAAACAAGTCAGATGTAGTTGAAGTGCAGACTTTCAGCTTTAATTTAGTGGGTAGAACAAAAACATTGCATAAAAATGTGGGGAACAAAAGTCCAATCTAGCCTTTCTATTCTTAAGGCTTATGAGTGGCTTGCATCTTGCAGTGAACCCTCTGTATTTGCTTTCATGCAGCCTTCTCTTTATGGTATTAGTTAGATATTGATACGCCTGCCTCCTGGAGAGTGTTGTTCACTTGGTTGGCTGTTACGAAGGGGTTTCTCTTCCACATGGAAATTATTCTGCGATCATCCACCACTATTGTCGTCTGTGGACCTCCAGGCCTTTTTGCGTTGCTGAGTTCACCAATGCTTGCTTTCTCTCTCAGGATGTACCAAACTGCGGATTTTGCCTCTCCTAATGTTGTGGCAATTTCCTAAATTCTTTTTTTCTGTTTTCGCAGCCTCAGAATGGCCTGTTTCACCTACATACTGAGTTCCTTTGACCGCATGTTGTATGTTCACACCTCAATCTTCCAAATGCAAACAAGACACCTCAAATCAACTCCAGGCCTTTTATCTGCTTAATTGATAAGGAAAGAACGAAGGAATTGCCCACACCTGTCCATGAAATAGCTTTGTGAATTGTCCAATTACTTTTGGCCCCTTTTGAGCTGAAACTCCTAAACCCTTCATCCAATTTGAATGTGGATACCCTCAAATTAAATCTGAGAGTCTGCACTTTATGTCCATGCCCATTGTATAACTTCAATTGGAAAATATTTCAGTAAACAGGTAAAATATTAAAACTTGTGTCAGTGTCCAAATATTTATGGTCCTGACTGTATGTCTACAGTAATATTACACTTTAAAAATCTGGGCTATTGTAAATGTGTCTGACGGCACACACAAACTGAAAACACTTCCTCCTCCTTGCCCCCTCCTCTTCCTCCTCCCAATATCCCACCTCCTACACGCACTCGTCCTCTGCATCTCTGATAGTGAATTATTCAATAAATGAGTTCAGACCACTGAGCTTTTGGTTTAGAGAATGGGGTTTGGAGTTTTAGCAATTCAGAAAAATGTACACAAAATACTTAATTTTTTATCCCTGCCATCCTGATCTTGTATCTGTTCTTCCCATCAGATTGCAGTTTAATCTTTGGGTCTTTCATTTGTCCACATATCTATTATTGTTACTTTTATTTTTTGTTTTATTTTGTTTATCATTGTTTTCTGATTTCGCCACTTTTTCAAGAGGCAGTTGTATTGTGTTTCAGAAGCAGGCTACTTGCATAACCATAACCAAAGACAGCATTTCAAGTCCCACCCGAAAGTATCAAAGTACCAAAAAAGTTCCCCAGCTGGTTTGGCACTTTCAGTGCTGGAACCTTTGGTTCCTACAAACGTTCGCATAGAGCCGATTGAACTCCTGTGCAGTGACACTCTCAAGGCAAAGTATGAGCCTGTGGGTGCTGCTCTGTTCCCACATTTCATCCCCGAAACTTTGCCTTGTCTCCCCGCCTATAAGCTGCTCAGACGGCCTGCACATGTGGCAGCACATGATGAAGTGATGATCTGAGGTGTGATGAAGATGAACAAAACGTCACACAGGAATCATCTCAGTCAGTATGTTTACATGCAAACCAAGAAAAACTAATTATTGTGTTAGTCTGACTAAACCCAGACTTTTAAAGTGCATGTAAACGGCACTACCCCCCCTCATGGATATTTACACTGGCAGACTGCACTGGAGAGCCAGTAACATCATCACAGGCTCCTCACACCCTGGACGCTACCTTTTCTCCCCCCTCATCCCAAGTAAGGTTATTCAGGGCAACTGGACTTGTTTAGTTCCTTGAAAACGTTTCGCCCTTCAATCCAGAGGGCTTTCTCAATTCTGACTGACTGGTTAGAGTAGCAGGTGTATAAATCCTGTGGAGCCCTCAAGTCATTAATACTCGATGGTCACCTGTGGGTTGTTGTGTCCCCTGGCTTTCATGTATGTCACTGTGACCACCTGGGCCAGGGTGTGAATGACTGTGAAACCATCTGGGTAGAGTTGAAAGAACAGCATTGTAAGTGGGTGATAAATTATGCCTAAGGCCGCCTCCTCTGTTTAACGAGGGTCGTTTTCTTGCAGTAAACTGCTTCTCTCACACCTCGTTTGAACCAGTCAGCCTCCCGGTTTAGAATCTTAGCGTCCTGGTCTTCAAGGAGTGGCCCTTGTCTTTCAGATGTAGGTGAACTGCTGAGTCCTGTCCTGATTGGCTGGCTCTTCTGTGCCGTGCCATGCGTTTATGGAGCTGCTGTTTGGTTTCTCCTATGTACAGATCTGTACATTCCTCACTGCACTGAACTGCACATACTACACTGCTCTGTTTGTGTCTGGGTGTTTTTGTCTTTGAGGTGGACCAGTTTCTGTCTTAGTGTGTTGCCTGCACTGCTACAACTGACAGGGAAGAGAACAAACGTAAGAGCGTTATCATCCCTTATGTTGCAGGGGTGGCTGAAAAGCTCAGGAAGATTTTCACGGCATCCCTGTACATTTCAAACACATTGTACTCAGACACTCACACTGTAAGAGGGCGGCTGTTTCTTTTTGTGTTATTCTTATTTCTTATTTATAACTTTAACTTAAACTGCTAAACAGAGAGCTGCTGAACTATTTTTTCACTGTTTCTGACAATAAAGGTCTGTCTGTCTGTCTGATTTTAATTTTTGATGTAAGAAATACTGGTATATTTATATAATAAAATAATACCGTGCTGTCCGTCTGATGATGAACTGATAAACTGAGTTTATCATTTGCTCAACTTAGTTGTCTGTCCAGTATAGTTTTTATGTATGACAATTACACATGGTGTTGGCATAACTGTGTAGTTAATTGTACATCCATTACTGTGTAGTTAATTGTACATCCATTACTGTGTAGTTAATTTTACATACATAACTGTTGTTGGCTGCATTAGTTGATATTAGTTGTACCAATTTCATTTTATTTGTCGATCCAGATGTACAGCATTTATTTCTAATTTAGATAGAGTTTTTAAATGAATGGAGGAAATATTTTCACAGTGCATCAACAATTTAAACATGAACAGAAAATAAACACTTTTGTATTTTTAAGGTCTATTGTTTGTAAAAATGCTGATATTGAGCTGTCAGAGACCATCATAAATTCTCATGATATTTACTCAGTTTGCTGCCTGAGGATGGTGAATTAAATGCTGTTAGTTATCTCTGCTAATTAAGCTGAAATCAGTTTGAAATCAAGTTACTCCCTCTGAAAGCCATTGAATACAAAGGGCTACATATCAAACTGTCCGTCCTGCCTGCCGTATCTCTGTGTGGTGGAGCAGGATGTCACTGGTTCTCTTCTGCTGTTATGAGAAGATTGATGTTATGAAGCTGCCTTAATGAATAAAGCTTAAAATGGCATCTTACATCTTTACACATTAAAATACACCACTAGGTTATTCTGTGTCGGCAGCAAGAGCACTTTTAATGGGACCATTACAGACTTTCGGTTACACTTGTGTAGATGATTTGAGGTCTTTATATTTCTGTCTTATTCACAGAGACCAAATGGAAGAATGCAGTTCAGATCTACAGGAGAAACTGGGTTTATCTTCCATATCGAAGGTTTTTATTCATTACTGATATATATTTTCTAAAATGTTGTGTGAATTGGCAAACATTTTATACAGCTGTACAGTAAGAAACTAATCATGTTAAAGGAACGATATTCAAACCTGCAATTACAAATGAAACAATGAAAAGGTTTGGTTCAAATAGCAACAATTAACTGTGATGGTGCATTTTAGTCACTAGAGGAAAATGCTGTGAGGTTCCTGAAAGATGAGCTGAAGAAGATCACGAGGTACCTAGACAAGAATTACCCAGAATGCTCTGAGCCTCAGCTGGAGGAGGACAATGACCAGGACAGTGATGGTCAGATACAGAAGACCTGTGGTAGAGAAGGAGCTCTGAAGATCACACTATACATCCTGAGGACCATGAAGCAAAATGATCTCGCTGACCTACTGGAGAAGAGTAAGAGCTAAATCTCATTCTCTGTGTGTTTTTTTGGCCTCAGAAAAACGGTATATGGAAAAAAACATCTATTACATTTCAGTTTATCATTTAATTTAATTTGATTTAGTTTTGCTTATATGAGTAAAAATATGTTTTTTGAAAAGTCTGTGCATTTACCTCTCATTTCATTTCAGGGCATCTTCTGTTACAATGTCACCGCAGAATCAAATGTAACCTAAGGAAGAAATGTGAGTGTGTATTTGAAGAGAAAGCTAAGGATGGACAGCCAACACTTCTCAGTGAGATTTACACAGAACTCTACATAACTGAAGGTGGGACTGGAGTAGTCAATGATGAACATGAAGTGAGACAGATTGAAACAGCATCCAAGAAAAGGCTAACAGAAGATACTACAGTCAAGTGCAATGATATATTTAAACCCTTATGTGGGC